CAAGGCACTAGGAGGAGAAGAGACATGGTTTGCTTTCTTGTGATAACACGATTTGTGCGAGGTATGGGGAGCAGGACAATTTATCAGGGTACGAATTACTAATTCACCAGGATGTGACTGTTTCACAAAAATATTTGTTGGTAAAACAGTAAGCAGGAAATTAAACAAATGCCTGTCAACTTGCCATTTGAAATTGAGATGGTGATCACTCTTTTTGGTGTTTTGAAAACCGATTCCTGTCCTAAGCCCCGGAGTATTGGTTTCAAAAAAGAAAGTTTTCGACGTTGATGTCTGTTATTAATGAGACACAATAAACATGACCTTGAAATTATGGAAAGCATGAAAAGTCACTTGATGCTCGAAAATCCAAATAATTAATACATTTACTATGGTGTAAACCCAAACAAAGTACATCGCTTTTAAACTTGTTGCTATGACGATCGTCACTATGCATGATCGACTAGTTTCTTAAAACCAAAGGTCAATCAGTGATAGCGCCCTCAACCAGCCAACAAATCATTACATTTCTTTTTAATGATGTGCCTGGGGGGCACAGACTGGCACATTGCAACGAATTTTTTTTTTTCACATTTTTTTGCATAAATACAAATCATAAAACATAATACCGGTAATCTAAATTTGTTACTTGAAACTAAAATCATTTGATCAAGAATTTTCACAAACAATTTTTTTAAATACTACAAATGCTAAGATAAAACAAAACTACCCCAATCTTTGGAAATCACAAATTAGGAATGATAGCAAACTTAGGAAATCTGGCAAATTTAAAAAAAATTACGGCTATGAACCATACTTACTATACTATACTATATAAAATATAAAACTACTGTGGCCAAACTTTGGAACAGCAACCATGATTTGAATACTGAAAGACAGATACATGTATACACATTCCAAAACACCAATCATCAAGAGAATTTATAAACAGTATAATAGTAACCTTGGGAGATGAGTGGAGTGTACTAAATTTTATACCAAGACCTAATTTTTCCAAATTAATTTTCCATCACAAATTATTAAAAAGACTAATAAATTTATATATCTGATGCAGACTAGTGACCAAAGTACATTGCTCAATTGTGTACACTTTATGCACACTACTTTCAACAAACAAAATATGTAAACTTATCTTTTTTTAGGTCCGCTGAGCCTATGGGATGGGTTTCTGTCCTGCGTCTGTCACCCGTCTATTTGTCTTTCTGTGCACGACTTCTTCTCAAAAACCACCAAACTGTTTGACTCGATTTTTGGTGTTTGGATGCCTTGATGAGTCTAGATGGTAATTTGTTCATGAGAAGTCGATCTGCCAAAAATTATGCAATGTAGCCCCCCAAAACTCTAAAATTTCTTCTATGCTACTATGACACTAAGTGGTCTACAGTGCTGATATTGATATCAGTTTTGTTAATTTTTGCGAATATTTTAAAATGGTCATTTTTGGTCAAAAATGCTATTATCGACTTCTTCTCCAAAACTGATAGGCCGATTGCTCTCTAACCAGCATGGTATATACGTCGGGTGGACCTCTATCACATTTGTTCATTTTGTGTTGACATCTTTAATTCTCTATTTTTAGCAAATATTTTGTCATTTTTCATCAAAAATAGTACTTTTGACTTGTTCTTCAAAACCAGTAGTCCAAATTCTTTGATACTTGATACACTTCACCCAGTCACTAAAAGTGACCAAATTTATCAAAAATTTCAGAAATTCATGATTTTTTTTATTACCTTCTTCTTAAAGTGGAACTAAATAGAGCCTATTTTGATGTTTGTATTTATTAAGTTATGTATATTGATTATAGATTTGAAAAAAAAAAATGATTATCTTCAGAGTTATGATGATTTAAATATGAGAAACCACAAACCTGCGAAAGACTTCCGTTTGTGCCATCTTGCCATAAAAAAAACGCCCTCACGAGGTATAAACAGGTATGGTAACAAAGCATGATGACGAAATAGTATCTAATTAAATTTAAGCAACTTAGGGAGCCATAGTTGGCTGGACTGGTGAATTGACTTCTATGGTTGTTTCGACTTTTACGTTAATGTTATTTACAAGCATATCAACATACAAACATTATGGATGTGCGATTGATCGAGACAGGTATTTTGTTTTGTTTTTTGTCTAACTGTCTATCAAATGCTGTTTCCAGTACTGCACTGTGCGGCGTGCAAATTATTCAAAGTATGGATGCTGGAGTATGCAATCTTGTGTTTGTAGGTGGTGGTGGAAACATTTTCATAAGCCCGGAGGCATGAACACGTAAGAGAAAAGTAAGGGATCAGCTTATACTCAAGAACCAACTCAGAAAAGACGATTTTGTTTTGGGGTTAAACACTGTAACCATCTTGCTAACAACGAAAAATTATCCTTTTTATTGAAAAAAAATGCGTCATTGATTTCCACGACACTTACAATGAAGAAACAAACATGTTCATAAAAAACACACACATTTTATTACAATACGATTTACATACCGTCTGAATTTACGGTGTAATAATGGGTAGGGTCTGTGAGGAAACAGTGGACGAAGGCATTTATCATTCTCTTCGTTTTGGTATGTTATCGATCGTACGCAAACTCTCGACGCAAAGCAATTTTCCACCATGAGGTTTTCCAGCATGATTTGACCTGGAACAACTTCCTTTGACCTAACAGGTCATGTCTTTCATTAACCAATCAAAATGATGTGTCGTAATGATGACATTTTCCGATTATTGACGATGATTTTTTAACGCAATGCAGAAGTGAATTACTGCAATGTTAAAATGCAATTGCAACGAAAAAACAATGAATTTTTCCCTAAAAACTGGCGATTCGCAATTTCCGAAATATAAACGATGGTTAATAGTAACCGTGGGTAAACTGAGTGTGGAGGAAGAATTTAAACACCTTTCACGGTCGCCAACATGTCACATCGTTCAAACCCTAGGCCTTTCATGATAGTCTCAAAGTAAACCATGCCAAATAATCAGGTACACGACTTAACGATTTGGCTTTTCGAAAGCTACTACTCAAAGAAATATGGATTACTCCAGTATTGCAACATCGGGGTTCATCCTAAGTAAATGACAGCATAGAAAGGATGCGAAGCACGTTGTGTACGTTTGCCATGCACTCTGAAATTAATGGAGTTTTCTCATAAAAACTAAAAGCACAAACCAAACTACCATGCCAATCATGATTATTATGAAATGAAACACACCTTTTACACGCATATTTTAAAGAATATCGTCAACGCCCAGTAAAAACACTCTGGGCTTATAATCGTGAATGCTCTCAACTCGATGAAATACCTAGTAAAAATATAGGGATGGGCTTCATACTTGGGAAGGGCTTCATACTTGGGAAGGGCTTATGATCGGGGAAGTACGGTACTTTAACGCAATTGGGCTTCCACTCTCAGAATACTGTGGTTCAAACGCATAAGACTCTAACCCAAGTTTTAAAAAGCACATTGTGCATATAAAAGTTGAGTTTATACTAGTAGTACACAATGCTTGGCAGCATGAACGGCTATGTACAATGGCGTATACGAATGCGATCAGATACTAAAACGTCATACAATGTAGCTTTGAAAAGTACCCGGATGTTAAATATGTTTGTTCGTTATTTATTCTCCTCCATGAATGGCCACCATGGTGTTTAATTGCAAGCACTTCGAATGCCTATCCAAGGTACAGTTATAATTAAAACAAAATTAAACCACTGCAATATTATTTCGAATACAGTTTAGAATATACACAACTATAAATTAAGGCCGCGTTTACGTTCGCTTTAATGCACTACAGTTGTTGGAAAATGAACAAAACTTGGGAAAAATATACAATGATGCCATATTGAAATTATATGCTCACAGAGAGATATGTAATGTTTCCCATTTGTTCTGTCAACTGTTTCTCATTCTCACATAGCACATGGGAGTTCTAAGTTTTCTTTAATTGGTCTATTATGATTGTAATGAAAACATAACCACTCAACATATTTAAATGTGTATAGACATGATTGATTTTGGTGGAAAATTATGCAAATGGCCTAATTTACATACCAATATGTAGGCTATTTTGGTGATATCTTGAGAACCATTCAATATGTTTTAATAAAACTTGGTGTATAGATGTGTTGGGGCAGTTTCCAGATATATTTAGTTTTTGGTGGAAATTTATGCAAATTAGATAATTTGCATATCACCTAGTGAAATTCAAGCTTTTTGGGTGCTATTTCAAAAACCATTCAACATATTTCAACAAAACTTGGTATATACCGGTACATGTATTACAAATTCAGATAATTGCAAATATCATGTTATGTTATTCTCTCAACATGCTGGAGTTCTTTTTAAGCTCTTTTTTATTCTAATTTTATTGAATATTTCTGTTATTTTTGTAAAAAATTCCACTTTTAGCATTATGTTTTATTGTCTCACTCACTGCCTTTTGGGGTATTTGTCATATAAAGCACTAATCTTTTGTACAATAGTCCGTTGAGCAACAGGCCATTGGCCTATTTTTTCATTTCATATTGATGTACTTGTTTTTTCATAAAATGTTATTGCTACACTGTGATAGAAACTTGTACGTCTAAAAATGCAATGAACTGTATTATATTTATTATTAGATTTCCATGATATTGCACAGACCTGATAAAGTTTACAGTCAAAATCTGTGCATATTATTAGTATGTTATAGTGTTATATACACTGCAAGAAAACACACAAAAAAATAAATGTAAATAATAACAATTTCTATCTCTACTCATGAATAAAGTACTCATTTTTTGGCAAAAACCATTGAGTGACAGGACAATATTTTTATATTCTGGTTCAATAAAACAAACATAAAAAATCAATCGGATAAAAAGAGATTATTCTCTCTATGTTTGGATTTGTCACTGTAATCTTGTGAACAATTCTGTCATCAATATCAATTTCATGCTATAATGCCATCTCTTGCCAGTCAGCGTCAAGAATGTCTCAGGCGGTATTCGATTCAAAGTACTCACATATGTTTATGCATTATAACATCGCTTTATAACTTCTATATGTACTTGTGTATTAACATTGTGATACAAAACAAGACTTCACACAAGTAAGCTACACATTCTTCCATAATTGTGAACCATATCGGGATACTAAAATTAATGTTTTGAAAACGACCACAAAATTGCTCTAGTGTAATGATGCTTTATTGATTGTGTAAACATCTGTTCTTGCTCTAGGATTGAATCTGATATGAACACATGTATGTGATACCTGACAATTTCAACGACTGAAAAACTTTGTTTTTATATGACTGGAGTCATGGAGAAGTAACAAGAAACAAGCTGTATGGTTTAGACAAATGTACTTCGTAGTATTTACTGACTTCATAACACCAAGTGGTCACTAAAAGCCAAATAGCAAAGGTAAGCAATGTCACTACTCTTCAAATGTAAAATTTACAGAATATCAGATATTGGACAAAATGCCAATGAACAATATCCTAGGAGAAATCCCAATACTAAAATTTCAGTTGTCAAATTTCTTCAACATTTGGGAAATTATGTCGTATATTTTTTCACACATATATTTAGACCACTTTTAAATAAATAGTTTTAAAAGTTTTAGAATACAAAATTCTGTTCAATTTTTCAACTGTTTGATTTTTTAGAGTTAGTTAGAATTAGAAATTTTAAAGAATAAAAAAAACAGCAGGATTCTTTGATCAGTTGAAAATATCAAAAGTCGATAAATTACAAAAATCTGCAAAAAATTATTAGTTTTACAATACTTTAATTATTTTGCCTGTATGTATGCATGTAATTAGCATATGGTTTACTGTAAAATACTTTATTTTAGCTGGAATTACCGGTAATTTTCGCTGAAAAGACTTTTTGAATGATTTGTAAGGAGTTGTATTTTTTATTGATTCTTGGTGAATTGAATGTAAAATATAGGAAAAAATGTATATTCGCTGGATTTTATTTTCACTGAATCATTCCTTCAGCGAAAATAGTGAAAATAAAGAATTTGACAGTACATAGTTTATGGTTTTACACTGCTAGAGAATTAAAAGCAAATGAACAGGTATGATGTCAACTGTAGATTGTCATTTTCATTTTAAATAATTGTATTGAGATTTTTTGTCTGTACCATCGCAAATCATGTCTATTAGGCAATCCCTACTGTTGTGCATGTGTCAATTTTTTGCCAGGTGATCATATTGTTAAGATATGCTAAAAATGATTTCACATTTTGCAAATACCATATTTTCTCTATTAGAAACACATTTCCATACAAGTGCACATAAGCCAAACATTGCAATAATTGTATGATTCATTGATCATTAAAATATTAACTTTCAGTGCATTTTGTCTCATATCTTCCATTTATGTGAATATATGTGCGACTAATAGAGCAAAAATAATAAATATCACACCCAGAAAAAGCTAAAAAAAAAAGGTGAAATCGTTTTTTATTTTTGCTAAAAAAAATACTAAAAGTAATTATCCTGGCATGACCCATTCCATAATTAACTTGGAGTCCAGGCATTTTCAAGACAAAAATGTTAGTGTGTAAAATGAATAATATAATAAATATCAAAGAACACCGAGGCAAAATCTTGTTGGACATGAAAGCAATTGCATTTTATGCCTTCATGAAGTTCAAGCCTTGCTTTTGACATTTCATTTTCGATTTCATTTTTTTGAATAATTGGTCAAATAACCTTAAAACTGACATACAATTATACTTTACTTAAAAGGTCTAATTGAATTCATATTCTGGCATTATTTTGTCATTACACCCATCAATAATCTCAGGTACCTCACAAATTTGCAAAGTGGGAAATCCAAGTTATCAATGAGCTCTCTTTAACATTAGTAAATTGTTATTTTTTTTCAAAATTTACTAAAATTGATGTGAAATTACAAAATCTAAATTATGATGTACAAAATCCCATTATTGTTTGCTGCTCCCAATTGATCACATTTACTAAAACTCAAATAATCAAGACGAGCCGACAACAAAATTAGAATGTTACCATGAAAATGCTATGGTATTTTTATTGGGTTTTATATAATAGGATTATGTTATAGGTATATATAATATTTTGTGATAAGTTAGGATTACACACACTATGTACATAGTGACAGCTTGCCTGTCTCCATCCATATTATTTAACTCCATACACAGCTGCCTCTCTTACTTTTCCAGCAATGTAGTTTTACCCTCTTGTATTTTATAAGCGCACACTTGTTAACACATGTCAGGGACACCATTGTTTGCTATTCATTTTGGCTGTCTGTCAGGCTTAAAGATTAAAGGTTAAAGGTTTATTTTAAAATGGCAACATACAGTCAGGGTTTGGGCTAGTGTCTCGGCAAGATGAGTCCCACTAACCAAATTTTAAGAAATTGAAATTTTAACCTGGATAACTTTATTAAAAATTGGACCCCAGCTTCAATGATTGGAGTCTGGGAAGCAAAATATGGGGTTAACGCAATCCCTGAATACAAACACTGCATTTTCAGTGATATATTTGTCAGACAAATTAAATACTTTTTACTTAATAAGCTTCAGAGAGAACTGTGAATTTATGTTTCAGTGAACATTTGAATGCCAACTTCAAACAATCAACGCAAGTCGGCTTGTTGACTGCTTAAAAAAAAAATTAAATTGTATTCGACTGTTTAGGTGACTTGAGGCACAAACCAAAATAATTTTTTTCATTTTTTACACTAATTTATTCATAAAAATGTAAATTTGATTTTACAAAATTTCAAATTACATAACTATAGTAAGATGTTTGACACAATCACTATATTGATGTATGATTACTGATAAATATTCTTGGTGCTGCTATGGTAACCATTCTCAAAGTACATCATGGATGACTTATTCGTTTATCTTTTCAGATGCATTTCTCAATTGTACAAGGAATAAAAGACTTGGAGAAACTACTTGTGTTTAGCGAAGATAGAAGAGCAACATGTCCACTATGTCCAGAGACAAAATACAAGCCTGTTAAATTGTTTCAGTTACGTAAGCATTTCCGCTCACATGAACGGAGTGGAGTTCGTTATGAAGGTATGTATGGCCATATGATCTCTCTATTCAAT